TTCTCCAACGCCCCCGAGGCCGCCACGACAATCGGGTACGATGCATCAATCGAGACATCCGCATCTGCTGAACGCGCTGCCTCTTGCTGATGGTCTCGCTGCCACTGCTTGCCACCAATAGCGAGGTGTTGCTGTCGGAGTTGCCGCAACGGTTCCATGGTCTGCCGTATCACGATCGACCGCGAGAGCGGCCTGCTCCTTAACCAATCAGTTGCTTTCCTCCTGCGCTGCTCGTTCTCCATCCGCGCCGCCTCGTATGCGTCCGCCATGCCGTCGGCACCTGGGGCATCGCCACCGCCAGTGGCTGTGTCGTCGCGCTGCATGTCCCCAGGGCGAGTGGACGGCGCGCGATCAACGGAGTGCCAAGGCCTGTCGGCTCCCAACGACGCATGCGCACCACGATGCGGGCCAAGAGATCCCGCCACTGAGCACCACGTTGCCCAGATTGCCGACACCATGCCGTGGATGGCCTCCATCATGACGAACTCATCGAATGCTTGGTCTGCCCCAGTCCATCGAGAGCGCGGGTACACTTTGAACCGCCTGCCTGCCACGCAGGATTGGATGCCCCTCCCAACCACGTCTGCGATCCGAGTACGGTCGTAATCAATGCCCTCTGGGACGTAGACCTCGATGACGCCGCGCCTCCTCCAGTCACCATTGGGGAGGCTTTGTATGCAAAGACGCTTCGCGAGCAGCCTGGACCCACGAGCCATGCACAACCTGATCAAGTGCTTGCGGTACAGGACTGCATCTGGTGGCGGCTCGCCCCTCTTGATCTGCAGCTTGTCCTTGACGTAGGCCACTACGCAGCGCCCGAATGTCTGCATCCCAGTTCCCAAGTTGACTGCGAGGCTGAAGTTGATCTGACCACTGATGTCGTCCTCGCACAACCCGAACGTGCGGCGATGTACACCAGCGAGGTTGTGAACCTCGCACCCCAAGTATATATGAAACCACTTTGACCCACAAGCCCTCTTGTACAAAATGCCTCGCTCAGCTCTGAAATTCGACGACGCCCTGTCCATAGTAGCGATGCGTGTGCGTGTTTGAAACCTGTTCGGGAACTCAGTAATTGCGCTCCGTTGGTTGTCTGCCTCTTGGAGGCATTCTCCTGTCGTTCGATCCAGTAGCTGAAGCCACGACTGCGTGGACCCTCGGAGCATCAGAATTGCACCAGACGGCGATTGAATCACCATCAAATACTCAGCAGCAGACTGCAATACTTTGGACGTGGTCGCCGAGGTCTTAGCCAAAGTCGGCAGCGGAGGCAGCGCGCCATGCTGAGCAATTGCAACGACCCCATCACCAGCCTCCAGTGCCAAGTGAGGTGCCTCTCCGATGCCGATCCTATCTCCAAGGTCTTGCAAGCCTACTTTAAGCGGTGTCTCGTCAGCGCTAACCCACTCAATATAAGCCAGAAGGGCATTGTCGGGGCACGTCGTGCCGACCAAGGCTTCCAATGTAAGACGATGGTTCCTATCCACGTGGATTGCTGCACACGCTAGTCGGCACATGTTCGCCCCAATGTGTTGTGCTGACGTCCCCGTAGCAGCAGCCAGCGCCCGTTTGGTTCCACTTCGGAATGGTGTCGAAGACGAGCTGCTCAAATACCAATCACCCAATCTAGACATGTCGTTATCATGCGAGCTGTCTGGGGGCTCCCTGTCCGCAACCCCCATGGCCTCCATGACCAGCGGCTGCAACGGCCAGCGCTTGTCGTAACCGACGTGGAACCTAGGAATACGAGCCATCACTGCCGAATGCACAACTGGCCACTTCTCAGAACGAGCTCCCACAACTATCAGGCCGCCGCCGTCGACAACTACCTCCTCGTCTGCCGCCTCGCGCCTCGCTCTCTTCACCTCTCTAGCGTCTGCCAGCTGCTCGGCTCTAGACTTTCTCTCCTCAGGTCGGCCTGAGTCGCGCGGCCGAGGACCTGGCCGTCGAGCAGCTCTGCGACGCTCCTCCTCGGCCGCACGCGCCACGATCATGGCGAGTGGACCTGCCCGTCGGGCACCGTGGTCGGCGGCTGGGCTGGACGGAGCTGGTCGCTGGTCACCGTCCAGTCGGTCGACGTCGGTCTTCTCATACTCGGCATCGCTATCGGAGCAAAATGCTGCCAACGCTGCCGCTTCCCAGGCGTCGTCTTCGGGCGACGCCATCGAGCCAAAATGGCTGCCACGGCTGATATAAGCACGATGTAGGGGGCATGATGACGAGGACGGTTATGGAGGGGGAGGTTGATTATATGAGAGGAGGGAGGAGGGAGATGAGTCCGAAGAGCAGGAGGACGAGGGTCAAGAGCACGATGGGCAGGGATATGATGACGGAGGAGGCGGCGGAGGGTCTTAGGGCTGAATGATTACGATGAGGCAAAGTTGGGGTGAGCTAGCCGTTGAACTGGACATTGCGTAGTTGACAAACATATTGCACGACATGGCATTATATAACGCTCGAACCCCTTCTCACACAAAACATTGATAAACACCATTTTGACATGAATACATTGTGAATGATCGACTCCTGAAGCTAGTGCAATCGTCTCGAGGCTCCAGAGCACAGGCAGACCACGCTCCGATGAACAAGGCACGAGTAGCGCGTAGCACGACGTTACAATCGAAACCGCACCCTGGCGTCTCTACTCGCGCGCAAGGACCCAAACCTGGAGCTGACCACTCTAAAGGCTACTTTTTTGGTGATCTAACAAAACGGGCCCCTAGCACTACATAAGGTACTCTGATACCCACTTCCCCCGCTGTTGGCATGTAACAGGGTTAGCGAGGCCACGATACCCTCAAAAGAAGCCTGCTTCCCTCCACTTTTCTCAAAAACAGCGAATGACGCAGCCCAGGCGGTCAGCGGGGGAGGCCGCCTCCTGCGGGGCTTCGACGGCATGGAGCTCGAAGCCGATGGCCGCCATCGCCCTTGTCACCAGCAGTGGCCTCCGGTGCGCGTTGTCCGGGTAAGCATCGGCGCCCCGAAGCTCGTCCCAGCGTAGAACAGCAAGGCGTGCCCAATCATCTCTCCTGGATGGCCCAATCGGGCCACCCGCGGGCCTGAAGGAGCTTGCACAGGCGGCAGCCGCGGTGTCTCAGCCGGTCTGTGAGCGGAGAGCCGACGAAGCCCAAATCGGGCGCAACGCAGGCCCATGCGTGGCAAAGCTGACCTGCTACATGTGCATGCGCGTACCGTCGGGGCGTTGACCTCAGGAACCCCAAATAAGGAACGAGGCCGCTTTTTCCCATAAGTTGAACTTCGACTTCCCATGGGAGACCTCAGGAAACCCGAAGGCAAACTGCAGAACAATCAAGGATCACCGAGCCCCTCCCCAACGAAAAGGGTTCCGTCTTCAGCGCCCCGACTGTATGCCCGATGCAATCTGGAGCGTGCCCGCGCGTTCTCGTGCAGAGCTGGCCGCCAGGCCTCGTGCATACAGTGCGGCCTCGAGCAGCGCACCCTCGGGCTGCTCGGCCGCCCGCCGACTTCGGAGCCCTCCCACCACGCGCCCCTGCTGAGGTTCGACGCGGACTTTCGGCTGTCTGACAAACTTCCAGTCGCCGAAGCGAGAGTAGATGGACTCCTTAACCACAAACAGAATACCACCTGCATTCTCACTATCCATGAACGATCCATGTACCTGCACACGACCAATGTCTCGCTGAAGAAGGATAGCGCCTGGCCCGCAGGACGAACATACAGTGCCATCACGTCCGGGATCGTTGCTCGCTCTGCAGTCGCTCGCCTTGCAGGCATGAGATCCGAAGCGCCCTGCGGACCATCCAGACGGAGCACGGCAGCGCAGCGCGGCCGGGTATCGCCTCCAGCCAGTCGGGTTCCACGAACTGCTCCGGGAACGTCTGCTGATCCTTGATGCCGATCCCGCCCACGGAGGCCGTGAAAAAGGCGTCCACCACGCCGAGATCCCTGGAGGCAGACTCACTGTAGAAGTCATGCCAGGCATGCCATGGGCTTCCTGGATGGCCAAACAGATCGGACCCTCGCGACAATCGTAAGCAGTGGGCCTTCTTCAGCCTGTGCCGCTGCACGTCACGAGCAAAAGAGTGCTTGGGCGTTCCAGCTCCTGCCAGTGAAGTGGTCAGAGAACGGGGACCCGCCGGGCCCGATGTCTGGCGAACACGGCGCCTCTGGGCCAGGCCTGCGTCGGGCTGCGTCTGGCCGACGTCGTGCAACAATGTTCGCATGTGCACACCTCCAAAGATCTCGACCCCTTCCCTGGGTTCGGTGATTCGTGCCGAATCCGTTTCTAAAGGCCTCCTAGGATGGGGTCCGAGTAGATCGGGTCGGAGGATCGCGCCGCATCGCCGATGCATCGTCGATGCGTCGGGGATGCATCGGCGGCGTCGGCGATGCACCGCCGACGTCGGCGTGGGGAGCATCGGGCTCCACATCGAGCCGCATCGCAGATACATTTGCGATGCGGAGCGATCCTTCGATCCCATCTACTCGGACCCCATCTACTCGGACCCCATCTGGGAGGCCAACAATTTCTGATATCCCCGGGGTCCAGTAAGTGCCCGCTGTTGCCGAAGATGGCCAGATACCTCTCATCGTGACTTTCCTACGGCGCGGTGGGGCTAGGGCTCGCCGGAGGGCATGGCAAAGGGGGGGAGTGTCGAATGCGCTCGTTTGGCAAGTTGCCCTGGCACCTCCCTGCGTTGGAGGCGCTCGTGCCTGCAGGCATGCATCGAGGAAAACACCCGGCGTAATGAGCAGACAACCGCCCTCATAGGAAACACCCCAGATAACGAAGCCGTTTAGTAAACGCATACAGGGAAGGAATCGATCAGGGCAGGAGCCGTTGTAAACGCCCAGGGTCGTCCAGCAAACTCACACTAGGGGGGACTAGGGGTGGCTTTCCTTCCCTTTACAGCGGCATGCAGCAGAGTTCGTGGATCCCCTTTCTCCAGTAGCGACCGATCGCGTCGGTCGCGACTGGGGAATCCCAGCATCAATTCATCAATGCCCGCGGGTCTCTCCAGGTGGAGCTCGGACCGCAGGGAGTCGGGCAGGAGCTGCAGCTGCGGCAGGTCGTTCTCGTGCAGGCGGTGGCGCTGCTTCTCGTGCGTGGCCGCCTCGCGCCCCAGGAGGCGGCATGAGTCGGTTTATATCCCAGCCCTGGTTCTCGCTCTGAACACAAGCACTGCTCGCGCAGACTCCTTCTTTCCTTCCTTCCTCCCGCCTGCTCCCTCCTCCCGCCCCATGCAGCTCCGACCTGCGTCTGCTCTGCCGCGCGGGGCTGCCATCTGCGCGCGCGTCGCCACCCTCGTGGGCTCCTTGGAGGCGCAGCTGGGTGGCGGCCTACGCACACCCAGAGTGGACCTCGCGGGTCAGTGCAATGACATTACATGTATGATATTATCCCTTAAGTGACAGGATATTTCATTTCAATTTTTCTCCCCGGCGAGCTGTCACTCGCGCATCTGTCGCCATCTTCGTGGGCTCCACGGCGGCCCAGCGGAATGTCGTCCTACGCGCACCCAGACTGCAGCTCGCGGCTCACTGCCGGGCTGCCGCCTTCGCACGTGCCGCCACCCTCGTGGGCTCATGGGAGACGCAGCGGAGCGGTGTCCTACGCGGACCCAGGCTAGACCTCTCGGCTCCCTTGGGGGGGGGGGCGCCACCTGCGCACATGCATCGTTTTTTTTTGTTTGGTTTGTTTTGTTACGTTTTTCTTTGTCGTAGGCGCCTGGCAGGTCCAGCAAAGCGATGTCTTACGCCCACCCAGACTGGACCTCGCGGCTCCCTGTCGGGCTGTCACCTGTGCAACTGTCGTCACTTCCGTGGGTTCATGGGGAGCCCAATGGCGTGGCGTCCCGCGCACACCCAGACAGATCTCGCGGCTCCCAGGGGTGTGGCCACCTGCGCATGTGTCGCCACGTTGGCGGGGGGCCAGCAATGGACCTCGCGGCTGGGAGGCTGCCACCTGTGCATGTGCCGCCACTTTCGTAGGCTCCTGGGAGGCCCGCTCAAAGGTAGTCCAGTGAAGTGGCGTCCTCCGCACACCCAGGCTAGACCTCGCGGCTCCGCGCGGGACTACCACCTGCGCATCTGTAGCTACTTTCGTGGGCTCCAGGGTAGTCCAACGGAGTGGCGTTTTACGCACACCCAGACTGGACCTCGCGGCTCCTTGAGAGTTGCCACCTGTGCAACTGTCACAGCTGAATTAAGGGTTTGAATGGGTCCAGCGATGATTTTCCACGTTACCGCCGGCGTTCGCCTCGTGACAGCCTCGTGCGCTGGGTAAGTTCGCTGAGGTTTCGCCACGCTACCGCCTCGTAGCCGCCTCGTGGCCGTCTCGTGCGTTGGGCGGGTTCGGCGAGGTTTCGCCACGTTGCCGCCCGTGGCCGCCTCGTGGCCGTCTCGTGCGTTGGGCGGGTTTGGCGGGGTCTCGCCACGTTGCCGCCCGTGGCCGCCTTGTTGCCGCCTCGTGCGCTGGGTAGATCCGACGAGATTTCGCCACGTTGCCGCCAGTGGTCGCCTCGTGACCGCCTTGTGGCCGCCGCGTGCGCTTGGTGGGCCTGGCAAAGTTTAGCCACGTTGCCGCCCGTGGCCGCCTCGTGGCTGCCTCGTGCGATGGGCAGGGCCGACGAGATTTTTGCAACGTTGCCGCCCGTGGCCCCCTCGTGGGCGCACCAGGCGCCCGTGGCCGCCGAGTTGCCGCCCGTGGCCACCACATTGATTGCACCACGTAGCTTTCACCTCGTAGCTCAGACCACATCGAGCGCAACACATAGCTTACACCACATAGCTTGCACCTCATAGCACACACCACAAAAGGTTGCACCACGTAGTTTGCACCACACATGTTGCACTGTGTATATGGCACCATGTAGATATCACCACATAGCTCACCCCATAGACTGCACCGCATATGTTGCACCACGTTGCTACACCACATAGCTCTTCCTTAATATAGGTCACAACGTAGCTTGCACCGCACAGCTCGCACCACATAGATTGCACCATATGTGCTGCGCCACATAGCTGATACCTCAAAGCTCACGCCACATAGATCACACCTCATATATTACTCTGCATAGCTCACGCATCCATCGTGGACGTCTCACTGCTTTAGGGGGCACGCTGGCAAACAGACTAGTACACACATATGCGTGTGTGTGTGTATGTGTGTCTGCGCATGTAGCTATGAGTAGTTGTGTATGTGTATACATGCATGCGTCTATGCAACTGTCTGTTTCGACCACGATTTTGTTTGTCGCTCGCGAAATGCACCATCTGATCTTGGATTCGCGAATACCGCAACGCGTCAGGTGCGCGCCGGCAGGCGGGGAGGCGGCGGATGGGAGGGGCTGTATAGCGCGGCTGACTCGGAGGCGGAAGGGAGAAGGTGGTGTCTCCCACTCCCCTCTACCCTCCAGCGCCTACTGCTGCAGGAGAGCCCAGAATCGGATCGATAAGTCATATCGGCGATCGAAATGATTGGGACGGCGGAAACCGGCAGCCGATTCGGGAGTAGCCGAATCGGCGGAAATCGGCAAGCTAGTAAGGCCTAATTGAGAAACCGCAGTCCAGATCAGGATCCGAAGTCAAGTCGAATCCGAACTCGAACCAAATTGGATCGGAACAATAGAAATGAGCCCTGCTGCTGCCCCTGCAATTGACCATCCCCTTCCCGTCCTCCTGTCCCCCAAAAGCGCCTTCGTGCGTGCACGAGGAGGGCTAGAGGAACAGCGACAAAAATGCCCTGAGGAACCGCGAGCCCGGCTGTGATGCTGCCCATCCCCTTGCCGTCCCTCCTTGCCCCTGGTCCGTCCGTTGCGCATGCTCATATGCTTATGTACACTGTAGTACTGATTAACTTATCACAGGAGAAGCTCATGCCTCTACAGTCGGGCCTAGGACAGAAAAACATCCTTCAAGCACATGAAGCCACCTCCCTGGCCGAAGCACTCCAAACCATAAGATCACTCGAGGGTACCCTCCCCCGGGACGCACAATAACATCCAACAAACACGAACAACATCAGGGTGGCCTGCCCAAGCCGATCTCCATCTGACCTCCCCTCGAAGGTGAAGATCCCTGTCCCCCCTCTCCTTCTCCCGACATGGTTACGGAACAGAAAACAAGGCCAAATTGCAAACGCCATTTCAAAAGACAACAACCGCAGCCACTTTTGGACGGGCGACATCCTGTCCCAAAAAGACCACATGACAATGTCCGTGTCGACACCGGCGGCGAGTCCTCTTCAACATAGACAGGCATTGCTGCCAATCTTCGCCCCGCCCTTTCTTTACAGACTTCTGACCGTGTGGTGGTCGGGCTCTCGCCCCTGCCGGCTCCTCGGGCCACGCCCCCGCTTCCCCGAGGCGTGGGGCTGCCCCTGCCGCTTCCGCCCCTCCTCCCCCGCCCCCCCGCCTCCTGAAGGAACCTCGTTATCCGGGCGCCCACGTCGAACGAGACCTGGTTCTCGAGGAAAAACTGGCGCATGTTCGCGGTCCTCTGGAGCTCCTCCGCGCGCAGGCGCTGGAAGTTGCCCATGGCCTGGGTGATGCTGCTGATGAAGCAGGAGAACGCCACCATGCCCAGTACGATTACCAGAATGGCGAACCCGCGCTCCAGCGTATTTCTTGGCTGCACTTCCGCGCTGGCCGGCGTGAACTGGGTGATACTCCAGTGCCTCAGCGCGCATCTCAAGGTTGACAAGCATTTTCTCTCCACATGCTAGGCGGGGACCTGATGCTCTTCCCACCCGCGTCGCACCCGCGTTACTCAATTTCCCCTCTCCTCCCTCTCTTTGCTACCCGCACACGCTAGACGCACAAACGCGCGCATCACACAGACACAACACCGAGGATTGCGGGCCAACGCAATCACAGTCGCACTTCACTTCCACGTTGCTTCTCCCGCACAGACATACACTTGCACGGACACTGTCGATCACATGCTCGCTCTGGAATTTTAGGGCGTGGCAGGCGTGGCAATTCCCTGATACCACAGGGGATGTGTTCGGGGGATGCGGTCTCCATCCGCCCCAGGCTCCCAAAGCGTGGCTAGCTTGACATTCCTCGTTAGCAGACGGGATGCGCAAGCGGTGCGGTTTGTACCCGTCTCAGGCTCCCAAGGTGTGGCTAGCGTGACATTCCTCGTTAGCAGACGGGATGCGCAAGCGGTGCGGTTTGTACCCGTCTCAGGCTCCCAAGGCGTGGCCAGCGTGGCATTCCTCGGCACCAGAAGGGATGCGCAGGGGGTGCGGTCTCTGTCCGTCTCAGGTTCTGAGGGCGCGGCAAATGCTGCAATTCCTCGGCACCAACAAAGTGCGCCCGGGACACGGACTCTATCCGTCTCAAGCTCCCAGAGCGTGGCAGGCTTGGAATTTCCTAGACACCAGAAGGGGGTGCGCAAGTGGTGCGGCCTCTGTCCGCGTCAGGCTCGAAAGGCGTGGCAGGCGAGGCATTCCATCGACACGAGAGGGGTGCACAAATGGTGCGGCCTCTATCCGCGTCAAGCTCGCAGGGCGTGGCAGGCGCGACAATTCCTCGAAACCAGAAGGGCGTGTGCAGAGAGTGCGGTGTCTATCCGTCTGAGGCTCGCAGGGATGCGTTTCCTCGACGCCAGAAAGGGGGGTGCGCAAGGAGTGCGGTCCCCATCCGTGTCAGACTTCAACATCGTGGCAAGCGTGGCATTTCCTCGGCACCAGAAAGCGTGGCATTTCCTCTACACCAGACTGGGGTGCGGCCTCTACCCATGTCAGGCTCCCAACGCGTGGCAAGCGTGGGGGTTCCTCGACACGGGAGGGGGTTCGCAAAGAGCGCGGCCCCTATCCTTGTCAGGCTCGCAGGGCAAGGTAGGCGTGGTATTTTCTTGACACCAGCGGGGGTGCGCATGGAATGCTGTTTGTATGCATGTCAGTCTCCCAATGCGCGGCGCAGGGGGCGCGCAAGGATTGTTGTCACTGTACGTGGCAGGCGTGGCACGTTCTCGACTCCAGAAGGGTTGCGCAAAGAATGGGGCCCCGATCCGCTTCACAGTCGCAAGGCGCGGCACGCGTGGCACTGTCTCGACACCAGAATGCGGGTGCACAGGGGGTGGTTGCCTCATGTTGGCCATGGTGCAGGGCGCGGCAGGCGTGGCACTTCCTCGACACCAGAGGGAGTGCGCAAGGAATGTTTCCCCGACTACCTTACCCACAATGTACTAATTCATCAAGGCAACACTGTTCGGTAGCGTAATTGAGGTTGGCGCTGTCCTGTCGGTGCTGGGCAGCTTGCAAAGTGACATCTGGGCTCAGCCGCCTGGTGAAGTCCAAGTGGTGGACGTATGACCTGGATCACCACTACGACCACCGATCCCAACATGAGTCATGTAGCCCAAGCCGAGGGGCTCGCTTGGCGAAACATCAGGGCTCTCCGACTTGTGCGGGGTTGAATCGCTCTTTGCGCTGGATGGTACAAGCTGTGCATGGCTGCTGCCGGCTCTGCTGCTGCTGGCCTCGCTGGTGCTGCTGAAATTGGGGGCCTTCTGGAACGTGTTGGGAAGTTTTGGGCGGGCTGGTGGCGCCTCTTGACTGCCAACGATTGGTTCGCCCGACGGATCAGGCGTGGTATATCCCGTCGCCAAGGAAGTCGGGCCATCTAATAATGATTCCCCAAATCCTGCTTGCACTCGAGGTTCTTACTGGCCCTTTCCCCAGACAACGCTTGCAGCAAGGCTCCGTGCTCCCCTCACCTGAACAATTTGATGGGCCTGCCGAGGATTTGCCGCGTTGCCGCCCGTGCCCGCCAGAGGGCGTCTCGTGGGCGCCCCTTGCGCTGGGTGGGCGTGTCGAAGATTCGCCACGCTGCCGCCCGTGCCCGCCAGGGGGCGACCCGTAAGATGATTTGGCCATGTTCGAAATATTTACATGCATTTATATCTACATACATATGTATACGTGTGTACACACACATCTATATATATACACGTGTATATATATATGTACATATAGATGCATACGCAGGCGTACATCGACATATGTGTTTATATGTATACTAGAACCATCGCGCGCGCTTCGCGCGCGCTCAAGTTCTAGCCAGGATCCTCACCATCGTCATCATCGCAATCATCACCATCGTAGTCATCGTCATGGTCGTGTTCACCATTACCATCACCAGCACAACCATCATCATCACCACCATCATCGTCAGCATCGTCAGCACCATCTTCATCATCGTCGTCGTCATCGTTGTCCTCACTATCATCGTCGTCGTCATCATCATCAGCATCATCATCGCATCAGCATCAGCATCAGCATCATCATCATCATCATCATCATCTTCGTCGGCGCCGTCGTTGTGCTCGTCATCCTCATCATCAGCGTCGTCGCCGTCATCATCATCGGTCTACTCCAGTCCCCTCCCCCTCCTCCTCATTTCCGTTCTATCTCTCCCCATCATCCTATCCTCTTGCTCCTCCTCCTCTTTCTTCTCCTCGATGCCGTCTCCCTGAAGTGGATCCCTGTTCATTCACCTCCTCCTCCTCCTCCCTGTCCTCCCCGCTCTCTTCAATCTGTCCCTCCTTGTGTTCCTTCACCTCCTTCACCTCCTTCCTCCCCCCAGAACTCCACGAACGGTGCCAGGGACAGAAAAGCACGGCGTCCCTCCGCCTATCGCACACCTTTCACACGGCTCTGTTGGGAGAATTCGCCCAGCGTCTCCCCGCGCCGAACAGGGCCGTAGTACACACGAGGGCGCACACAGACGTATCGAATGCAACGCCATGCAGACCAATGCGAGTAGTAAAACAAACGCCAAACGTTGCAAATGCAGCGCGATTCACAGCATTATTGTTGAATTGAAATGCAATGCACATGCTACTCAATGCAGGCAGCTCAACGGAACGGATCGGAAGGAAGAAGGGGTGCATATGAAAGTGTCCGAAATCGCATGGGGCTCGTTTCGGTGCCTGCTCGGGGGCTCTTGGGGCCTCCCGGGGGGCTCTTGGGGGCCTTTGGGAGCCTCTAGTGGTTTCTGGGGATGCTCTTGGGGCCGAGGGCCCGTAAAGTGCGCTCGGATCCCGCGTCTGGGCCCCTTCTTGGAGCCGTGTTGGGACTCTCTTGGGCCGTCTTCGAGGCCTCTTAAGCGGTCCCGGGGCGCTCTTGGGCCGTCTTGGGGCCGTCTTGGTGGCCTCTTGGGCCGTCTTGGGGCGATCTTGGGTGCCTCTTGGCCGTCTTGGAGCGCCAGGGAGCCCAAAAGGAGAGAAAGCCAAAAACATCGAAAAACACAATGGAAAATCAACGATTCGAGCCTCTTGGGGCCCTCTTGGAGAGCCTCTTGGAGGCCTCTTGGGGCGTCTTGGAGGCCCCTTGGGCCGTCTTGGGACCATCTTGGGCGTCTTGGAGCGATCTGGGACCGCCTCGGGGCCCTCTTGGACCATCCTGGGGGCCTCCTGGGGCCGTCTTGGAGGCCTCTTGGGTCGTCTGGAGGCTCCTTGGAGGCTCCTTGGAGGCCCCGGGGAGGGGGTATTAAAAAGCGTTCCCCGATGGTTGCGGAGTGGGCGGCCCCGCCGGGGGGGGGGCCTATTTGTTTATATTATATATGTATGTGCACGGGTCGGACAACTCGAACGGGGCGGAGAGCTCTAAATGTCGGTTCGGTTTCTCCTCCGGGGTCCCTCTTGACGCGTTCTCGGAGCCCTCTCGGGCTGCCTTGGAGGCCTCGGGGGCCTCTTGGGCAATCTCGGTGCCCTCTTGGGGGCCTCTGAGGCCGTGTTGGGACGATACTTGGGGCCTCTGGGACCGTCTTGGAGCGGCGAGAAGCCGAAAAGGCAGAAACTCAAAAATACATCAAAAACCAAAGGATAATCAATGATTGATTGTTGCCTCTTGGGGCCATTTTGGGAGTGCTCTTGGAGACCCCTTGGGCCGTGTTGAGAGCCTTTGGGCCGTCTGGGGGCCATCCTGGGCGTGTTCGACCGATATTTCGGTAACTCTGGGCCCTCTTGGAGGCCTCTTTTGGCCCTTTTGATGTGTTTTGGGGCTGTCTTGGGCCGTCTGGGGGCGTCCCTGGCAGCCTGGTCCCCCCATGTGCTGTCGGGTAGCCGCAGTGGTGAGCCCCAACGCGTGGTTCCTGAAACTGAATTTTCCGTAGGGAATTCCCCAATTCAGGCCTCCCGGCTTCATCTCCTGGCGCATCAGCGCAGGCTCCCGAGGCGTCTTGGGAGCCTGCAGGGCCTACTTGAGGTGCACATGGGGCGTCTTGGAACACTCTATGGGCGTCTTGGACGTTCCTTGGGTGGTCTGGACGACCTCAGGGCCCCTCTTGGCATGCCCAAGGCCTCCCCTGTGGAGGCCCCCACGCTGTCTGGGAAGGCCGTTGGGGGTCGTCTTGGGCCGTCACGGGGGTTCCGTGGGCCGTCGTGGGGATCCCTGGAGCGCCTTGGTCGCACTCGTAGACGCAGTGGAGAGCCCGAGCGCACGATTGCTGAAAACGAAGGTTCTCCGTAGGAGTTTCCCAGTGTTGGTCTCCTGGCGTCTTCTCGGAGCGCGTCAAGGGAGGCTCCGAATGCGTCTTGGAAGCCTCCAGGCCCTACTCGAGGTCCACACGGGGCCTCTTCGAGCGCTCCGTGGGGAGGTTGAACGTCCCTTGGGCGTTCTTGACGGCCTCAGGACCCCGCTAGCCGCTAGGCACGCTCCGGGCCTCTTCCGGAGGGCCGCCCAGGCCGTCTGGGGAGCCCTTCTGGGCTCGTCTTGGGCCGTCTCGGAGGGTTCGTGGGCCGTCTTTGGCCTCCCTGGAGCGCCTCGGGCGCCGTCGTAGACGCACTGGAGGCCTCGAGCGCGTGGCTGCTGAACATGTGTTTTCCTCATGGAATTGCCAAGTTTTGGCCTCCCGACGTTTCTCGGGGAGCGTCCGGGGAAGTTCCGGAGGCATCGACGGAGCCTCCAGGCCCTACAGTCGGGGCCTTGACCTAAGGAACCCTAAATACGGAACGAGGCCCCTTTTTTCCATAAGTTGAACTTCGATTTCGCACCGAAGCCATAAGGAAAATATGAGGCAAGCTGAGAAACAATTAAGGAACACGGAGCCCCTCCCCAACGAAAGGGGTTCCTTCTTCAGGGCCCCGACCGCACCCGCCCAGAGAGCCCCGACCCGCCCCCCCTGGTCTTGGGAACATCCCCCCCGAACGCCCGCGATCGCCTCCAGGTGGCCCGCCACGCTCCCAAGGCGCTCCACGCAGGCTTCCCCACGGCCCAAAACGACCCCCCGGCGCCCAAGATGGTTTGGCGACGGCTCCCCCAAAAAGGGTCCGAAGGCACATCATTACTCGGCTTCCCGCTGGTTTCGGGGCGTTTCTGTTGGATTCCGCCTTTTCGGCATGCTGACGCTCCACGGCAACAGCCCCAGAAGGACCAAAGCTCGCCCCAAGACGGTTTCAGAGGCCCCCTCCAGGGCGCCGCACTGCCCAAGAGGCCCCATAGACGCCACAAGAGACTGGCACCGAATCGATAAACCATCACCGCCATACGCTCATCACGCCCTCACCGCCACTGTCTCAGGGCGTCTGGGGGGGCTTCTTGGGGGCCTCCTGGGGCTTCCTGGGGGCCTCTTGGGGACTTCTTGGGGTCTCCTGGGGGCCTCTTGGTAGCCACTTGGGGCCTCTTGGGGTCTTCAAGGGGTGGAGAGCTCGAAATGTCGGTTCGTGTTCCCCCTCTGGGCTCCCTCTTGAGACGCTTGAAGCGTTCTGGGGATCCTCTTGGGCTGCCGAGAGGGCCCCAAGACGGCCCAAGAGGGCCCCCAAGACAGCCCTAGAGAGCCCAAAGAGGGCCCAAGAGGTCCCAGAAGGGGAACGCTCACCGATATGTCATGCCCTCCGCCCCAAGATGAGCTTCGAGACCACTACAGGCCTCCAAGAGGGCATCCAAGGCATCTCAAGTGGCCTCGAGGCCCAAAAGAGGCCCCCACGACACCTCAAAATCGCCTCCAAGAGGTTCCCGAGACGCCTCCCAAGAGGTCCCCACGAGCATCCAGGCTACCTCTGACCTACAACCCAGGCTCGGGTGCGTGCTAGACCGAGGTCCACTCGATACACCTGCGTAAGTAGCTCCAGATGGTCCCCAGACAGACAACGCTTGCATTTAGGGGCTCTCACCTTCCGCTTCTGCACGCGCGGATCGGAGCGGGTGTGCCGGATCTTCGCCCGGTGCCCAGCTGGTGGCCGCCCGTGGGCGCCTCGTGGGGGCCCCCGCGCACCGGGTGGGTGTGCCGCGTTCCCCCCGGTGACCGAGGGTGGGAGCCTCAAGGGCGCCTCGCGTACTTCAGCGAGCGAAGAACGGTATAAAATAAACTTTTTCGCTGTCGGGGCCCGCCTGTCCCTGGGCGGCTGGAAAGTTTATACCCCTACGGTGCCACCGTGAAGTACTGGGCGGGTGTGCCGAGCGGTCGCCCGTGGCCCGCCCGTGGCCGCCCGACGGCGCCCCTTGGGCGCCTCGTGCGCTGGGGGTGGTGTGCTGGGGGTGGCGCCCGGTGCCCGCCTGTGGGCATCCCGTGGGCGCCCGGTGGGCGGCCGTGCAGCCCTTGCACCGCAGAGCGTGCAGCCTGCACTGCGTAGCCTGCGCTGCACGCACTGCACCGCGAGCCCGTCACCACGTAGCTTTCACCGCGCAACTTCCACCTCACAGCTTCCAGCACAGAGCGTTAACCACACAGCTTGCACCACAGAGCTTGCACCACGCAGCTGGTAATGTACAGCGCGTTGTTCAGTTTAGGCCGCACAGCTTCCGCTGCATAACTTACACACCAAAGCTAAATACGTTTTGCCATCGGGTGCTTACACAGCTCTGACACTGGGGCAACCCTGAACGAATACGCGACTTTCAGTAGCGCGTCCTACACCAGCTAAAGCAACGCCCTGCGAGGACCGGCTAAGTCCAGCGCAGCGAAGTTGCATATCTGTATGGCACGCCATGGTGATCTTCGTCGAACATGTCGATCCAAGTTCTTTTGTAGCGCCCCCCGACAAGATACCACGCACAAGCGATATAATGGCTGGCGACCAAGATGTACACCAATGACCGCATGATGCCCATTGCAGTTGGTAAGGCTTGCAACTGAAAACTGCCCGCATGAATGTACGACACCCGGCTGCTAAACTTGAACAATCGCACAAAACGGACCAGACGTAAAAACCGACTGAGGCGCAGAATCTTGGCGGAGCGGGCGAGCGTTACCGCGCGCGAGATGCTCTCAGGCTCGACGATTAGCAAGAACCATTCCAACATGATCACGCCCATGTCAAGCATGAGCCAACCCTTGATGTAATGCCATGCGATCCTGCTTAATTTCATCTCAACTACACCCAAGTGGAAATACCCAGTGAAAAAGCTCCGCCGCCCCCTCGCTTCGGGCCCCCAGGCTCAGGAAAGGAATGTGTCTTGTCCCACTCATGTGCACCAGCGCAAGACACCATGCTAGCTACCGTGGACCCCCGACAGTAAGTGATTGTATTGTGGGTCTTTTAGCTATGTGATGCAATCTACGTGGTGCAGGCTACGTGGTGTAATATATGTGGTGTAAGTCATGTGGTGCAGGCTACATGGTGCAACCTCGGCGGACCCCCCCCCAGCGTGGTATTCGGCAGCGATGCGGCAGTGGGCGGCGACGCCACGAGACCTCGACGGACCCCCCGAAGCGGGCGGCAACGGGCGGCGACGAGGCGAAACCTCGACGGACCCATCCAATCTCGCAGGAGCGCAAGTAAGAACCCCTCAATGCAAGTACTGTTTGGGAAATAGCACACACGGGCCCGACAATGCCTACATCAACTTCCTGCCATGAAGACGTCGGCTCTGGTTCCTGCCGCCGCGCGACACTAGTTACTCTTTCACAATTCCCTTCTCTTTCGGAGGTCCCCAGATGCCCCCGACCACGTACGGCAGGTTCGTGTCGTGACGACCCTGGCGCTGGTTCCTGACACCGCGTGGACCGTTGAACCTTGAACGATCGGCGGCGGTTCGATCGCCTGATCGTTCGATGTAGGCCGATTCTGAGCCACTGGCATCGTTCAACCTCGAACGCCCGCGGCGGGGTCGCCGGTCGGCACGACTTTTTAGTCAGCGGCCGCAGGCCAGAGCGCCAGCGGCGGGTCCAGTCAAAGCGGGGCACGCAGCGACGAACTAACCTAACGCGACGGGGCGCAGCCTCACCTAAAGCGGCGGGGCGGAGCCTCACGCAGCACCTCGGCGGCGGGCAAGCGAGTGGAGGGGCTGGCTGTAGCTGAATACCAGTACTGCCTGCCGGTCGGCACGACGCGAGCCTGCAGCTTTTCGCGCGAGGCTCGGGCCGCGGGCTGTCTCCTATGAGCGAGTCCCCGGGGGGGGGGGGGCCAGCCTTGAAGCACCCGCGCCGTCGACGCCCGCGCCCGGGGCGGAGCGGACCTGCCGTACGCATCCTTGCCAGTCCGAGCGGAGGAGGGAGAGGAGGAGGAGGAGGAGGAGGAGGAGGAGGAGGAGGAGGAGGAGGAGGAGGCGGAGGAGGAGGAGGAGGAGGAAGAGGAGGAGGGGGGGAGGACCAGTGGAAACCCAAGAGTCATCAACGATGTTTGAAGACAACCGTTTGAAGACCCTGAGCCATGCCAGAACATTGTTCTCGCGATTCCAGAGCCACGGTTCAACTGGACTGTTGCGTCTTGACAATCTTGAATCGTGCCAGAACGCCGTTCCTGGAACTTCGACACTGCGAATCACACCATGTCTGGTTTGTTGAACAAGCGAACCCGTGAAACTCGTTCAACTGTAAGAAACGAATGTGCGCGGCACTAAATCAATAACCACATTTAAACATGAGCCGCCATCAGTCCGTGAAGCTCTTGCATGTGCTTAAAGCAAATGTGCGCAACGCTTAGGCGACAACCGCATTTTGAAACGACCCGCCCTCAACCCGTGAAACTCTTTCAATTCTTTAAGACGAATGCACGCGGCGCTAAGGCGAAATCCACATTTTGAAAACGACCCGCCCTCAACCCGTGCAACGTCTTCAACTGTTTGAAGCAAATGCGCGCGAAACTAAAACGATATCCACATTTTGACAACGACCCGCCCTCAATCCGTGACTCTTCCAAACATTTAAGCCGGATGTGAGCGGCGCTCAGGCGAGAACCATGTTTTGACAACGACCCGCCCTCCATCAGTAAAGCGGTCGAAACGCCCGGCCCGCCCTACTGGCCTCGGGGTGCGACACGGAGAAATTATTTGTGGGGAAAAAGGAATGGGGGAGGACAAGGAGGGGGATGATGAGGAGGAGGAGGAGGGGAAGGAGGAGGAGGGGAGGAGAAGGAAGAGGAGGCGAAGGCGTTGGAGGAGGAGTCGTTCCCCCAAGCCGAGCGCGAGGCCCATCAGATCCGCCGCCCCGCTGCTGACCTAACACACTGGCGGTTGCCACGCCTAGACTTTAGAGCACGGATGCCCTCCCAAGAGGTTTCAGCGATTCCCTCCTTCTCCTCCTGTCGTCGCCCTCGGCACACGGGGTCGCCACTAGTGCTTCTGGCCAAAGTGGCATCGATGGGGGCTCCAAGACTCTCCAGCATGGCCCACGTTGCCCCCCAAAGTGGCCCATAATGCTTCCCAGACGGCCCAAGGAGGCCTCCAAATTAGCCTGGCGAAGGACCCAACCATATGCAGTTGTGAATACCACAATTATAAATATCATCATCGCCTGCGCTCGCTATGGAGCCACGAACCGCGCGGTGGACGCGCCGAAATGCGCGGCGAGGCGCACAGCGCGAGCGGAAACGATAGGCTCGCGCGCGAGAGATTGGGAGCGGGTGAGTGCGAGCGCGAGTGGTCTGATCGTGGATGAGTCTGCGCGCGCGAGTGATTCTACGGACATAAATGTCGACGCCAATGTCGGCGCGCCCCTCGCGAGGTTCGCGCCCGCTTCTTTCCCGTTATTTTCCCCCCTTTTTGCCCGTGGGCGCCCATGGCCAATTTGGACGCCCGAAATGGGTACCGAAAAAATGGGTACGATGCCCAACAACAAATGTTGTCCCAAACCAACAGCGGCCGCTGTTGGGCGGGCGGCCTTCTGTTTCAAATGGACACAGGCCGCGGCGGCGCGGACAGCGAGTCCTGTTCAAAATGAACAAGAACTGCTGTTGGGCATTGTACCCATTCTTTCCGTGCCCATCTCGGGCGTCCAGATCCAAGGCCGTGGGCGCAGCGCCGCCCGGAGCCCCCGCGACGCGCGCCGGTCGCCTCGACGGGGTCCTGGCGACGCGCGCGGGTCGTCCGCGGCGCGGAGCAGAGGGAGCGAGCAGGCAAGCTGATGGCCGGCAAGGCTTTGGCCGCTGGGCAGAGCGACGACGGAGCGAGGCGCTGGGCAGTGCGCAGCGTGGAGTTCCCGCGACGCGCGCTGGTCGCCCCGAGAGGGTCCCAGCGACGCGCGCGGGTCGCCCGCGGCGCGAGGCCAAACAGTCAGACCGTCGAGAGACGGCGAGGCTCGAGCGGCTCGCTCCTCAGGTCGAGTCTCGCGGATAAACTCGGTGAAGCCCAGCTCCCCCGCGAGGGCCGTCGCCTCCCTCCTGCGCCGCTTTGTGCGCGCAGCGAACTGCTCCAGCTGCTTCCGCAAACCCTCCTGCGGCCCTGCCGGGAAGAACTCGATGCGCGGCGCCCGCATGAGCAGGAGGTCCTCGAGGCGCGTGGCGCGCGAGAGCGGCGCGCAGAGTTCCAGCCACCAGTCGTCGCCCTCCTTCTTGCAGTTCCCAACCTCGTGGTGGCCGCAGTCCAAAATCACGCATGCGCGATGTCGGCCGAAGGAGCAGCGCGGCGGACAGCCGACGGCCCAGGGCGAGCCCACAGGACCGAGAGAAGGTCTGGCTGCGGACTGCTCGCGCCCGGCAGGTCTGAGGCTCCCTATGTGGCCACGAAACGCCGTGCTGGGCGGGGGAGACGCATGCGAACACCGCCACTGGGGCCTTAGGTGGAGCTCCCTATGAGGCCACGAAACGCTGTGCTGGGTGAAGGAGACGCACGCGAATACCCCCACCGGGGCCTTAGGTGGGGCTCCCTGTGATACCTACGGGGCCACGAAGCGCCGTTTTGGGCGGGGGAAACGCAAGCGAACACCGCCACTGGGGCCTTAGGTGGAGCTCCCCATGGTACCTATGGGGCCACGAAGCGCTGTATGCATGCGAACACCGCCACTGGGGCCTTAGGTGGAGCTCCCTATGGGGCCACGAAAAACGAACTGGGTGGGGGAGACGCATGCGAACACCGCCGCTGGGGCCTTAAGTGGGGCTCCCTATGGGGCCATGAAACGCCGTACTGGGCGGGGGAGACGCATGCGAACACCGCCAATGGGGCCTTAGATGGATCTCCCTATGAGGCCACGAATCGCTGTGCTGGGTGGGGAAGACGCATGCGAACACCGCTATTGGGGCCTTAGGTGGGGCTTCCTATGGGGCCACGAAACGCCGTACTGGGTGGGGGATGGGGGAGACGCATGCGAACACCTCCACTGGGGCCTGAAGTGGGGCTCCCTATGGGGCCACGAAACGCAGTACTGGGTGGGGGAGACGCATGCGAACACCGCCACTGGGGCCTTAGGTGGAGCTCCCTATGGGGCCACCGTGACGGTGTGCTGGGTGGGGGAGACGCATGCGAACACCGCCAGTGGGGCCTTAGGTGGAGCTCCCTATGGGGCCACGAAGCACGTGGGGGAGACGCATGCGAACACCCCAACTGGGGCCTTAGATGGGGTCCTTATGGGGCCACGAAGCGCCGTACTGGGTGGGGGAGACGCATGCGAACACCGCCACTGGGGCCTGAAGTGGGGTTCCCTGAGGGGCCACCGTAATGTTGTGCTGGGTGGGAAAGACGCATGTGAACACTGCCACTGGGGCCCTTAAGTGGGGCTCCCTACGGGGCCACGAAGCGCCGTACTGGGTGGGGGAGACGCATGCGAACACCGCCACTGGGGCCTTAAAGCGGGGTTCCCTGAGGGGCCACCGTAATGTTGTGCTTGGTGGGGGAGACGCATGTGAACACCGCCACTGGGGCCCTTAAGTGGGGCTCCCTACGGGGCCACGAAACGCCGTGCTGGGTGGGGGAGACGCATGCGAACACCGCCATTGAGGCCTTCGATGGGGCTCCCTGTGGGGCCACGACACGTGTGAGGGGTGTGGCGAAATTGGTGGCGATGATGGTGACGATAACAGTGGTGATCATGTTGTCAATGGTGATGGTGACGATGACATGGCGATGACGATGACGATGATGATGGTGATGATGATCATGATGATGATGATGATGATGACGACGACGACGAGGACATGTGCAGGGCAGAGGCAGCAATGGGAGGAGGGAGGAGGGGGTGGAGGAAGAAAGGAAAGAAAGAAGGAAGGAAGGAACGCAGGGCGCTGTCTCTTCAAACCGAGGACCCAACACCACAGGATGGCTGCGAATAGAAGGTTCAAAAAACGCCCAGGAGGGCCTCAAGGGGGGACATCGCTCATTTCCAATAGGACTGTTTAATGCTTCCCAGAGCTTCTTCAGGGGAGTCCGCCAAGACGGCCCAGTATTGCCTCAATGTGCATGCGCCCAACATGGCCCAGAAAACCCCCCAAGACGGCCTTCGAATGCGCCATGCGGCCCAAGAGCGCCTTAAGACGGCCCAGTGCCAGAAAGCCCCAGAGGGCCAGAAACTGACCCCGCGTCAGCCACATGGCGGCCCCAAAGGGCTCGTCCACGAGCTCATTCAAAGTACGTCTCCGAATGCATGTTAAGATCGGTCGTCGGCCTGCAGTGCCTTGTATTGATGGGATTCCTGCGGATCCTCTCCTTGTGCCCGGATGTGCGCTGCAACAACAGGTGGGGACACATGGCTAAGATCATGACGCCCTAAACCCTGTCACAAAAGCGCCTGCACCCCAAGGCTCAACAATGTCACACAAGCGCCTACACCATCCTCACCTCATGGAAGTACTCCTGAACTCTCTGGCCACAAGCCAGGCATCCGACGATGTGCTCAGAGATCATGGCCCCGCCCATGGGGGGAATGTTCGCTCCAGCTCAATGATAAATTGCCCTGGGGACAAAAAGAACTCACCCGGATGCCACCAAGGGGGAAAGCACCAGGATCGAACACTGTTCTGCTTCGAGCGATCCCCATCAATATTAAAACGCGTGTCTTTGGTGTGCGACCTGGGTGTATGTCATTGCCGCGTGTTGTTGGTGCGGGTTCGTAATGTCGGTTCTCGATTTCTACCACTGGTGGCTCTTTACCATCTTTCATGCTTTACGGGATTGATGTAGTCGTTCGGTACTAATGATCGATGTCTGTTCCGGGCGTCAATCACATATGTTGATTGGCGCGTGGTGTACGTGATTGGTGGCGGCTCCTGGCCTACGTGATGGGCGTCGGCCACTGATGTATGATTGTGGTGCATGTTCCCGTTATGTGATGGTTAATGCTCTCGTGGCAAGGAGTTGGTGTATGGCCTTGACGTCTGTCACTGGGGTACGGTAGCGATGATGACTCATTATTACCATCAGCGGTGCCTGGTACTTGTATATCGACATTTCGGTGTACAGGAACGGTGTATGGTCTGGGTGTCTCTGATAGACGTGTGAATAGCAGTGCAAGTTATACGTGACGGTTGCAGATGCCGATGATTGGCATCTTTTATGGGCGCATGCGATCATGTTGTTGGTGTGATCGGGATGTATTGCGTTAACACATACCATCGCTGTGTGCGATTGGTGCAACCAATCAGCGCATGCCCTTCGTGTTGTGTTTGGCGGCTCTTCTTGGCGTATGTTAATGAAACATGGTATTGACTTACGCTCTACTCTCGCTGTATGTTATCGACGCACGTACTTCGTGTATGCTGTATGCCTGTTCCGGATGTCTGTGGACGGCGTGACGTCGTGACGCCCGGTCGTCGTGACGCTTCCCTGGCGAGGTGTTTTTTCCTGCTTTAGCTACACCGTCAAGCGGGTATGGCGGGACACCCAAAGACCACCCCAGACTGTTTGCGCCTGGCGGCCGCGGCATGCAAGGCTTGCGAGGCGTGCCGTGAAGATGTGGGTGAAAAACTAGCACCCCCCACCTGTCGGGTGGGGAAGAACCATATCCGCCAGGTCTGGAAGCACGTGTGCCCGCAAGACCAGGGCAAGATCAAACAACATCGAATCGTGAAATATCGGATCGAACCGCCGTACGTCGGATCGTCGGGCCGCGTCGGCGCCGAATCGGAACCGAATCGGATCGGCCGCGCCAGGATGCACCATATCGCAAAGAGCAAGCGTCGGACCGCATCGGGTCGTCGAAATGTCGTGTTCGAATCGGATCGGGCCAGCCATGATCGACATCGAACCAGATCGATCGTATCGAGATGGACCCCGCAAGGGGGGGACGGTGGCTCGCCGCAGGCCCTTCGATCATCGGCACGTCGAGCGTCCAGATGCACGCGGTGAGGATGTGCAGGACCCTGGCGGCGCTGCCCTCGGGTTCGTAGAACGCGAGCATGGGGAGCATGACGATGTCGTAGCTCAGGGAAGCTGCGGCAGTCGACGGAGCAGGATGCATGAGAAAGCAGGAGGGTTGGAATCGAAACACAGCATACACAGCACCTTTTCGGAAGCCCGCATGTCTATTCCTTGGATCGGCGCCGCCGCGGGCGCCGACCAGAGAAGTCCGCGCGGACCTCTGAACGCTTTGTGCTCTTTTGTGGAGAAGGTTCTTCTTCTCAGAGTGGAAGGTGAGGCAGATGAGAAGGAGCAGGAGCAGGAGGCGAAACGAGAAGGTCGGGCGGGGTTACGCGTTCCCCCGTGGCGACGTACTCCAGGTGGGGCGTCGCAGGGGCCACGTTGCCAGCCACGAGGTGCGCAGATGCCTGGGCCCCTGGGCGCCTCGAGGCTGGCCCCGAAGGCGCCTCTCCAGTGTACGTCTGTCTTGGGGTACGCGTAGCCTTCCCTAAGCAGGTGACTGCCCGCCTGCGGTGATCGAGTCCCAGAAGGAGCGGGCACCGGACGTTGGAGTCATCACGAACGCCTCTTCGGATGAATCGGAACTACACGGGAATTTCGGAATTGCTCCACAGCCCCCTCGGGGATGTGGGGGAGAACGGGGTGGACGGGGGACTCAGGGCAGAAGAGAAAGCCTAGCTGCAGGCCGTTCTTGCTGCCCTGAGCCTTGAGCCGTGTGTTCTCCATGAGCACGTTGTTGTGGTCGGGTTGCGTTATCACTGACGTGCATGATCTGGGCCTGTCTTCATCCCCGGTCTCCTTGGGCGGCGGCAGCAGTATCCGTGGACTGCCTGCGTGTGCCTCCCCCGCCCAGCGCAGCTAGAGCACATCGCAGCAACTAAGACTGCAAGGCAGCCCGCACGGACGCTCCCTCCTCCTCCTCCTCCTTTTCCTCCTCCTCCTCCTCCTCATCCTCCACCTCCTTTTCCACCTCCTCCCCGACGAAGGGAGGAGGGAGGGGGGAGGGGCGAGGGGGGTGTTGAGACGGTTCCGAAGGCGTCGGGCCGTTCCTTACCCCGACGGGTCTCTCCTGGGGCTGCAGGGCTTCCCCAGCTGTGGCAGGCCCGAGACAGGAGACTCACGCCCCCGCGCGGTCTTCTGGTCCGCGCGGGGCCGCTCAGTGCACCCTCCCGGGCGCGCACTTGGGCGTTGCTCAATGGAGGGGCGATAAGCGGGGAAGCGAATAAACGTGCACCTTTCGTGCCACTTTGGGGTCCAAGGGGGTCCCTCTAGGGCCCCTCCTGTGCACAGGTGTACCATTCGTCGCCCCTTCTTTATCGCCCACCCCCACTACGCAAGGCCCGACGCACAGTCGTTGCCTGCCCTGCGGGCGGATCGCACCACAGCGCGAGCTGGACCCCATGACAGAGCGGTCGGAGCACACCGGGGACACGAACGCGCTGCTCGCCCCCTCCCTTACGCCCCCCGCCCTTGCACAGGGAGAGAGCTGAAGCGAGGGCGAAGGGCGTGGCGTCCGCTGCGCGGCGACGAAGGCGCCTGCGCCGTCGCCGCGCGCGGCCGCCGCCGCAGCGCGCGCCGCCGCCGCGCGCGCGCGGCCGCCACCGCCGCCGCCGCCGCCGCCGCCGCCGCCGCCGCCGCCGCCGCGTCGTTCGTCGTCGTCGTCGTCGTCGTCGTCGTCGTCGTCGTCGTCGTCGTCGTCGTCGTCGTCGTCGTCGTCGTCGTCGTCGTCGTCGTCGTCGTCGTCGGCGTCGGCGTCGGCGTCGTCGTCGTCGCAGGCGTGGCACCCACCGCGCTTCAGCGGCTGCGGGGCGGGAAGGAAGCGCGAGCAGATCCCGCCGCGCCAGGCGGCAGCTCAGCGCGCGGCCAAGGCCAGGCGCCAGAGGCGTGCAGTCATCGTGGAGAACGCCAGATAAAGGAACGAAGGGGTCTGTCAGCCCGTTTATATTTTCGGATGTGGACAGCAGCACATTTAGCAAAACGCCTTTTTGAGAAGGCTGCCAGGGACACTCAATGTGCATACGGCACCACATTCCGAGTGCACCACAGCTGGGCAGCTTACCGATATTCAAAGACAACCGATTGTTCCCCCCGCTATCCTGCGAGACACACGTCGGTTGGCGAAACCGACGGGACTATACCGGTACACACTCGTGCAGATTTCCGTAGTCTGCTGACTTGTCTGGGTGGGGGTTCTCTCAATGCCCGATACGCTATTCGCTGAAACGCTCGCCAGCCCAGCTCCCCTCCCCTCCCCCCCCCCTGGTCACGTCACGACTCGCTCTGGTGCCGTCTAAGAATGAGGCTCCTAGGCGGTCCCAGACGGCGCCGGCGCGAATCGCGACGTGACCGGCCTTCTCCTCCCACTCGTCACGATCGTCGTCGCGAAGGAGCAAAAGACGCTCTCTTTCTGGCCACGGCGAGCCCAGGTCACGAATGGGCTTCCCGACCTGGACCTGGAAGCGGCCCGACAGCCGGAGCCCCTCCGGAGCCTGCGTCCCACGCCTTGACGGTCTGAGACTCCTCCTCCCCTTCCTCCTCCTCCTCCTCCTCCTCCTCCTCCTCCTCCTCCTCCTCCTCCTCCTCCCTCCTCCTCCTCCTCCTCCTCCTCCTCCTCCTCCTCCTCCTCCTCCTCCTCCTCCTCCCTCCTCCTCCTCCTCCTCCTCCTCCTCCTCCTCCTCCTCCTCCCCCCCCCCTCCTCTCCTCCTCCTCCTCCTCCTCATCCTCCTCCTCCTCCTCCTCCTCCTCCTCCTCCTCCTCCTCCCCCTCCGGCCGAGCGTGGGGAGATGCAGAACGCAAGACCCGCGAGTCCGCCACTCCGCGGACGGCAGGCCGCTCTGGGGCAGCGCGGGCGGGCCCGAGCCCGCTCAGAAGAGCGCGCGGTCGCGGGAGCCGCTCCCGCAGCTCCGGGTGGAGGAGACAGATCCAGCAGCAGGTGCGAGGCCCACAGCATGGCAGCGCAGGCGCCCAGAGCCATCGGCGCCGCGCGCTGCGCTCGGGCCAGAGCCCGCCCCGCGCACGCAGCCGCGCCCGGGCCAAGTGCGGCGCCGGTGCGGGACAGCCAGGCTCTGCCGAGCACCACTGGGCAGCCCTCGCGAGCGCCCCCGCCGGAGGCCCGCTGCGAAGACGGTCTGCATGGACGCGCCAGTGAGCGCCAGGCTCTGCCGCTCCTGCCCTGGTGGCGAGGAGGCCCTGACCTCCAGGCGCCGCGCGAGGAAGGGGAGGCCACGGGTTGAGCAGGGACCGACCGGCCCGGCATTTCTGTAGGCCTACCACGACATGTTCGTAGAACCCCAAAATGTTCCAAAAACAAAAACGATGTTCTTAGACCATGAGCCCGATGCGCTAAAACAGGACAGCCCCAACCAGAAGTGTTCTAACATTTCATGGAAGCCATCAACGGTTCTTAGGACATTGTCTGGTAGGCCTATAGGCACGCCTGGACGCTTCGCCACTGCTTGAACGGGCGCTCTTGCCCTGCTTCGGGCCTTGGCGCTCTCCGCGGAGCGGCCCGGCTCGAGAAGCCCAGTCGGGGCCTCGGGTCGTGATGCCTCGCTGGGTTCCGGCTGTGTCCGCGTCCGTGCCCGTGCCCGCCGCCTGCCGAGGCCAGTGTCCGTATCCACCGCCTGCCAAGGTCCCCGAAGATTGATCCCGCAGGCCCAGGCGGTGGTTATGGGTAAATCCTCGCCGCCTCCCCCCGCCTCCTCCTCGTCCTCTTCTCGCGCAATGGGCCGTGGGCTTAGTGGGCCCTGGAAACGACAGGGCCGTTTTTTTACCGGTTCCGTTTTGCCGTTTTTTTGCCGGTTCCGACGCCGTTTTTTCACCGGTTCCGTCGCCGTTTCTTGACCGGTTCCGGCTCCGGTTCCAATCCTGGAGCCGTTTTTTTGCTGTTTCCGGTCGCCGTTTTTGTTGCCGCTTCCATTTTGAAGGGACATTTTTTTGGGAAACGGTGAAAAACCCGCCCTGCCGTTTCCGGGGCCCACAAAGGCCGTGGGGCAACTTCTGAGCCCAGCGTGCGCGTCCTGGTCTGTCCACGCCGGCCACAGCTCCGGGTGCAGGTCCGGCAGGGCGGCGTTACTGGCGCCGCTTGTGCTCGCGCCGTTGGCCTCCACCATCCCTCTCCCTCAGTCCCTAGGCTAAGCGACCAACGGCGGATGAAGGGCGATGATGCGCACAGATATAATTGTACTAAGCCCAATCGCCCTCTAGTGCGTCAGTGGTCTAAGGAGTTCCCTCGTCCAACCCGCTTCTGCCCCTTCGGGGACGGGCTTCTCTCTCCCCCTCATTACCCTCTCCCCCAGGGTCTGGAGAAGGCCAAAATCATTGACTTTACACATGTGTTTGCCACACTTTTTGACCTCCTCGGGGGGACCCTGGCCCTCCCGAGGCTCCCAAGGGTGTCCCAAGACGGGCCCGAGGTGCCCAGAGGCCCCAGGAGGCACCCAAGATGCCCTCAAGGTGCCTCCAAGAGGCTCCCAAGAGACCTCCAATCGGTCCCAAGACCCCCCCTGAGGCACCCAGGACTCCCCAGGAGGCCTCGGCGAGAAGGCGACAATCATTGATTTTATAATGGTTTGGCCACATGTTGGCTTCCTGGGGGGGGGCCCAAGTAAAGAAGTCCCCCTCCTTTGATCGATCTCCTCCACAATGGCCCCGGGGCTTCCAAGGGTGTCCCAAGGGGTGCCCGAGGTGCCCGGGAGGCCCCAGGAGGCCCCCAAGAGGCCCCCAAGATGCCACCAAGAGGCTCTCAAGGGACCCCCAACACGCACCAAGAGACCCCCCCAAGGGGCACCCAATACGCTTCGAGAGGCCTCGGCGAGACGGCCAACAACACTGATTTTACATAGGTTTTGGCAACACTATTTGACCTGTTGGAGGGGACCCTAATGTGTACTACGACCCCTCCTTTGATGGATCTCCTCTAAGATGGCCCCAAGATGGCCCCCCCCGAGGCTCCCAAGGGTGCCCCAAGACGGCCCCGAGAGGTGCCCAGGAGGCCCCAGGAGGCACCCAAGAAGCCCCCAAGGTGCCCCCAAATGGCTCCCAAGAAACATCCAAGAGGCCCGAAAAGGCTCCCCAGATGCACCCAAGACGCCCCAAGAGGCCTCCCGGACTGCCGAGGGACCCCCTCAGACACCCCAGGAGGACTCCAAGGAGCTCCCGGAAGAAATCCGAAGAGTGTCCGAGAGGCTTCCAAGATGCTTCTGGCCTCTCTGCTCGCCCTCCTCCCCCTCCTCCCCCTCCTCCTCCTCCTCCTCCTCCTCCTCCTCCTCCTCATCCTCCTCCTCATCCTCCTTCTCCTCATCCGCCTATTGCTCCTCCTCCACCTCCCTCCTCCTCCTCCTCCTCCTCCTCCTCCTCCACCTCATACACCTCTTTCTGCTCCTCCGATCCCTCCTCCATCCTCCCCCTCCTGGGGTAGGACGTCTTATCCAACACTTCATTCCACTGCATGCTCCTTTACAGCCCTGATCAGGGCAACTCGTCGGGGCATCGTTTCTGGATGGGCTGGTGGGGTTATGCGAAGCGTTTGGAATTTCACTTAAGTGTGTATATCGAGGTATGTAAAAGAGACATCGAAGCATATACATAGAGAGATCACATAGATATAGAGAGAGGGAGAGAAAGAGAGAGAGAGAGAGAGAGTGAAGGAACCAAACACAAGAGACACGAACAGAGGGTTAGCGATATAGAGAGAGAGAGAGAGAGATACATAGAGAGATAGAGAGAGGGACGCAGATAGACAGAGAGAGAAGAGACATTGACAGGCAGGGCGCCCGAGATATGTACCCATCACCCTCGCAGGCGCAGATGTGAGCGACGGGCTACCGCAGGTTCAGACAGCCTCGGACTCAGGCAGAAGGCCGTCGCGGCCGCCGATCCTCGCGCCGTGGATTTCCCGTAACGCCCCAGACCACGGCCAGCGACCACCCCGTGGCAGCGAGAGCCCTCCAGAGACGCCCCGCTGAAGCCCTGAACTGACGTGGGGTATGTCCCCCTACCGAAAAATAAAAAATCATGAAAACAAAAACGCAAAAATGGCCAGACAATACTCAAACATCGTCCCCATACTATTTTTGTTTGACTATTGCTGAATCTTCCCCCTGTAGAGGGACACGCCCGACTTCACCCGGAAGCAGCGACGACAGTCCGCTGGAGGTCTGGGCTTCGAGTGCTCCCCCGCGCCTGGACGCGGCCGCTGTCGCCGTCGAGCGCCGTCGAGGGGACGGACCTCGCGGGGCCCGGGCTGCCCTCCTCCCCCGCTCCCCGCTCCCCGCGCCGCGCGCGCGCGGAAGCGGGCCTCGGGGGAGGCCTTCGTGGGAGGGGGGCGGCCCTCGGAGCCCGGGCGCTGGCGAGAGGAGGCGCGCCGGCCACTGCGTCAACGCCCTCGGCCTCCGGAGACCCGTGGGCGACAGCCAGAGCCGTATCCGCGGCCCCGCGGGCCGAGCCGCCGAAGCCGCGACCCCCCCAAGGGTACGGGGCGTCTTTCCGCGGCTGCCCCGCGCGGGGCGTGTCCGCGCGGCCGCGTCTCCGCGGGATCGCGCCCCGGGAGTTCAGGCCGCGGGGGCGCGGATACGGACATGGGCCGCCGCTCGTGCAAGGCAATCCCCTGGACCAGGGAGAGGCCGGTCCCCAGGGAGAGGTCGAAGTGCCCGCGGGCACGCGCCGCAGAAACAGTGTTCCGTCGGAGGGAAGGGTGGTGGGACGCAGTAGCATGATTTGCTTATGTTGCAGACGCACGTCCGACCCGAGTCAGTAAATTCCCCGACTCGTATTTGCACTTCGGGGTCCTTACCTACAATCCAAGGACCTTGGCGTGTCTGTTGGTCTGGCGGCTATGTGCCGCCGTCGCCGCCCCGTCGCCGCCTCGTCGCCGGCTGTCGTCTGGGCCTGTCTGTCGCTGTGGTAGCTATGTTGTCGCCGTCGCCGCCCCGTCGCCGCCTTAGATTGCACAGCCAAAATTGACTGCATTGGTTGCAACACGAAGGTTACACCGCATATGTTACAATACGTAAATTGCACCACGCAACTTCCACAACATTCATTACGCCGCATACACTGCCGCAAACGGAGTGTACAAGCTTGATTGTAGCGCGATGAATGCAGTCCATATATTCTTTTGTCCTGACGGCTAGTAAGATGTACCTCTTCCCCTCCGGAGTTAACGGTCCGGGCTTTCGTATGACAATTTACACACGAACCTGCCCCGCCGTCCATCCTACAAATGAACTTGTTCCATCCCAAGCAGCCCGGCATCGCCTCCCTCAAACACTATGCGCGCGAAGTCGTTTCTGAAACATCATCAGTTGTCGTCCCTCGCGCCCAAAAAAACGATGTGCACGCGCGCGCGTCGTCGCGCGCGCATGCCGGAATCCTCGAATGAAGAAAAATAAGTGTCACATGTATATCAAAATCGATTGCCCCGACAAATACAAACACATGGTGTTGCAACACCAGTTTCAAAAAAAAGAGCAGTGCTCGCGCCCTGGCGAGTCCCCCCAAAGATGACTTTTACTTTCATATAAGAACATTACATTCGGGCAAACGTGCCTCTCGCGCCGCATGTCAAAATCATTCGAACGCCCTTGAGCGCGCGCTGGGTGGGGAGGCGAGATCCGAATCAAATCGTACCACGCGGGCCACTCGCGCGCGTCGGCCAAACGCGCACGTCGAACTCCCTCCAAAAACCTTCATCATCGACGCAAGGACGCCGTCATCGTCGTCGGCGTGATCAATTGTGTCTGCATCTGTCGGCGTCGCCAAGATACCGTGCCCGCCCAAATCGCCGACTCGCCCTGAAGTGCCCGCTGGGAAGTGCCCATCGACCATCACCACCGCGGCCGCGTCGGTCGCGCCAAACTACCTGGCCGCTGCGCGCGCGAACATGCGCGGGCTAGCGCGGCCGTCGCGCGCGCTTGCCGCAGTCCTTTGAAAAATTCGGGTTCGTCAGGCGTTCAAAATCGAGCATTGCGAATCCAAATAAGCACAAATGAATGCGCAACAAAGGTTTTCAAAAACAACCGGCGCTCGCGCTCTTGAAGAATCTAAAAGAAACCCAATTCGTATAAACACATGCTCGTACCATGCCGCAGCGCGGGCCTCTCGCGCGCGCGTTTCGGAATCGTTCGAAAACGCTTGCGCACGCGCTGTCGCAAGAGGATTTTGCACTAACGAAACGAAGTGCACGAGGGCGCGCGTCGTCGCGAGCGTATGCTGGACTCTTTGAAAACCATTGGGTTCCGTAAGGATTTCAAATCCGAGTGCCCCGAAACATTTAAAGGCATGGTTTAGCAAATCCGCGCGCGCTCTTGCGAATCCTGAAGAAACCACCGGTTGTTCAACTTGGTCGTCAAATTCTGCTGAGCGGACCTCTCGCGCCGCATGTCGAACTCATCCGAAGCCGTTGCGCGCGTGCTGGGAACGCGATCCGTGCCGCATCAGTCCACGAGGGCCACTCGCGATCGTCAGCCGCGCGCGCATGTCGAACTTCTTCCAAACCTTCATCACCTACGCGAGGACATCGTTATCGTTATCGGCGGGCGGAATCAACATCGACGCCGGCATCGGCCTTGCCGTCGTCATCGCCACCATCGTTACCACCATCGCTTCTCATCATCGTGCGCACCGTTGCCGGCGCCGCCAAGATACTGCGCCCGCCCAACTCACCGACTCGCCCTGAAGTGGCCGCTGGGAAATGCTAAGATGCTACCAGTTGGCCTCTCACGCGCGCGCGCCAGAATCGTTCAAACGCCCCTGCGGGCGTGCTGTCGCAAGAACACCGTGCAACAAATGCAACCAAGTGCGCGCGCGCAAGTCGTCACGCGCGCATGCCGCAACCCAAACACGTAAGGTTTCGTAGAAGTTTCGAAACCAAGTGCTCCGACAACATGTTAAAATCATTCATGGCTTTGCAGCGATAGTTCTAGTATGCAATAAATACGCCCGCGCTGTTGCGAATTTTCAACAAAAACCATAACCGAGCCGCGGGCGATAATAAAGCCTACCCCCTCCTCCCCCCCTCCCCCCCCAACAAAAAAATCCAACAGGATCTAATTGTGGAGGGGGCGCGGAGGCCGAACTTTATAATCCACTGGGAAAATTGCAAATCGAAATTGCTATCATATCATGTTGACTAGCAACATCATCATAAGCGCTGAGCATGGCCACGGTAGCCTCACCACACCAGCGTCCGCTTCGAGAGCCTGGTTAGTCACGGGCGCCGGGATTTCTCGAGTGCGCCTTGTGCCGAACGCCCAAGATCACCGTCATCATCATCATCGTCATCGTCACCACCATAACTTACCTTCCCGGGGAAGATCTTACAATATGCCCGCCAGAACCCCGAAGTTTCTTATCCCCGGGGTGTTATCATCGCCCGTGGTCGGTTAGTTTGTTTTTCATAGTTTTTTTTTTTTTTTTTTTTTTTTTTTTTTTTTTTTTTTTTAAAAAAAAAAAATAAAATTTTTCAAAATGTCCACTCAATTCGGCCGAGCGGGCCGTTCGCGACGCATGTCGACATCATTCGAACGCCCTTGCGCGCGTGCAGGGGACGGGGGTGGGCACGATCTGTGTCAAATAATATCACGCGGGCCACGCTCGCGCGTCGGCCGCGCGCACATGTCGAACTCCTTCCAAAATTTTCACCGACGCGAGAACGCCGTCATCGTCGCCGGCGAGATCAGCACTGGCGCCGCCACTGGCCGCATCGTCGCCGTCGTCATCATCGCCTCCAACGTCGCTGCTATCATCATCGTGTCTACCGTCGTCAACGCTTCCATGATATCGCGGCCGCCCAAGTGGCCGACTCGCCCTGAAGTGTCCGCTGGGAAGTGCCCAGCGACCAGCGCCCCCGCGGCCGCGTCGGTCGCGCCAAACTACCTGGCCGCTGCGTGCGCGAACATGCGCGGGCTAGCGCGGCCGCAGAGATGCACCAGCGAACGCCACGCACTCATGACAATCGCCGCCGTATGAGCGGGTGGGATGCTGGGTGGGTGGGTGGGCGGGTGGGATGCTTGCACGCGCAGTTGAGTTGACAACGCACTGCGAGCATGGGTTAACACCACGTAGATTCTCCTTTCTAAGAAGAGAATAGACTCTACCCCCCCTCGGACTTATCCGTTTCCTTTTCGGGTAGATCATATATGATTCTGACCACTCGTCCATCCTAAATATAAGATCGTATCACCCCAGCCAGGCCGGGTTCCCCCCCCCTGAGGTTCCCTTGTAAAAAACACTATGCGGTGACATTTTTTGTTCTAACATGTGCAAAAAACGGGACGAAGTGCACACGCGCGCGTCGTCGCGCTCGCATGCCGAAATCCTGCAAAAACCTTCGGTGCCGGAAGGATTCCGCAATCGAGCTTCCAAAAAGCATGCAAAAACACTTGCTTTCGCAACACAGATTTGCTAAAAAAGCTTCCGCGCGAGCTCTTGCGAAATCTTAAGAAAACCATGGTTTTTCAAGATTTTCACATCATGCTACCAAACGGGCTTCGCGCGCGCATGTCGAAATCTGTCGAACGCCCTTGCGCGTGTGCCGTCGCGAGAATCCTCTGCAAAAAACGGGACGAAGTGCAGACGCGCGCGTCGTCGCGGGCGTATGCCAAAAACCTTCAAACATCGTGCGTCAAAAAACATACAAAAAACTAAGGTTTCGCAACACGGATTTTCAACAAAAACGTGCGCGCGCGCTCTTGCGTCGTCGTCGTCGTCGTCGTCGCCGTCCTCCCTCCTCCCGCGTCGTCGTCGTCGTCGTCGCCTACGTCGTCCTCTGTCTTTTCTCGTGTTCGTCGTCGTCGTCCTCTTTGGCGTCGTGGTCGTTTCCGTCGTCGTTGTCGCCGTGGTCGTCCGTCCTCTTCCTCCCACGTCGTCGTCGTCGTCCGTCGTCGGCGTCTCGTCGTCAGTTCTATTTCGTCACCGTCGTCGTCGTCGTTGTCGTCGTCGTCTTCCCTCCTCCCTCGTCGTTGTCGTCGTCGGCGTCGCCGTCCTTCCTCCTTCGTCGTCGTTCGCGTCGTCGCCGTCCTCCCTCCTCCTTCGTCGTTGTCGTCGTTGTCGTCGTTGTCGCCGTCGTCGTCCTTCCTCCTCCATCGTCGTCGCCTTCGTTGGCGTCGTCGTCGACGTCGAAGTCGTCGGAGACGTCGTCGGTGTCGTCGTCGTCGTTGTCGTCGATGTCGTCGTAGTCGGTCTTAAGAGGTTTTGCAAACCAAGTTGCGGGTGGGAGGGTGGGATGTT